TCTATAAAGTTTCATTTATCAAGAAAGTTAAATAATGGAATTTAGATTACTATGATAGTCTGAAGCTTGCTTTGGAAGAGAACTTTCTATTCTCTGATGAGTTATAATGTCAATCTATCCAATAACCTCCAAATCAAATAGATAAATGGGACAACTATAGCAGTAATTCACTTTAAGTCAAGGGAAAATATCTTGGTTGTGATATACTAAAGTTGGTAATTCAAGGATAGTAGAAATTACACAAATACATTGAAAGAGGCTTTGGATAATTTGGGTTAATTAAAAGGTTTATTAGATATATATAATATCAAAGGTAAGAGAATTCAGTAGGTAAAACCTTGGGTCAATTGCTTTGGACAGCTGACCTTTATATATATAATTAAATATTAATTATTTGATGATCAAAGTGATCAAATCTGCCAGATTTGCCAAATTAGACCTATATGTCAGATCTGCTCACTTGGGTAACTTGTTAGCTAAATATAGATATGATATAATAATAGAATAAATAAATTAAATAATGCGCACTACATAAATCGCTACTTTGCCCTAATGATTGGATCTACCCTAGGAACCAATGAGATACACTTTGCATCATATATGCCATATGATCTAAAAATAAAACTGAAGTAACACAATAGACAAGAACTATAGATAATAATCAAAAGAAAATATAACTAATAATTAAGACTAACAATAGGTTGCATTAAAGTTTCTCATTACTATTATATAAAAGTCTTGTTTATACTTTCTTTTAATAAGATTAATTATCTTATTTTGTACCATTTACACCTCGGTTTATCAGAAGAAATATAGATCTGTATAATACAAATCTTCTTTCTTTTTATAAGTATATTAGTGACAATAATGTATCCTTTTTCTTTTTTTACTGATGCAACCTTTTTTTCCAAATCTTTTCTAATTAAGATATCAATCTCTACTCCAAATGGTATATCTTTGTTGGCACTATTAAAGTGTTTGTAATCTTTCTGGTTATTAAATACCCACTGTATATTGACTTGTGTTAGTTTTATTTTATATAACCCAATATGCCTATTCCTTGTTCTAGTATCTCTTCAATCAGATTTTGTTGTTTTGTTATATCTGTGATTCCTCTGATATTATGTGTACCAATCTTAATCACCTTTTTATCTATATTATCATTTTTCTAAATTTTCTTAAATAGTTTGTTGATACTATTGTTGTTTAAAAAATCTTTTCATTCATCTTATAAAAATGTTAAGATATCTAGATACCCCATTTCTTTTAACTCATTATTGTTTATTAAAGTTTGTTTATTGTTCATATTTATAGTTTTTAATAAGGAGGCAGTAAGTTCTTGCTCCTCTTGATTGCTATCAAAGACTGGTATGCCTTTAGATATAGTTTGTTCTTCTATTATTTAATCTTAATTTTCTGAAGACTGTTTGTCCCTTTAAAGTATCTATTCTAGTATATAGTTTTTCAAGATTGGCTAAAATACTCTTAAAAGGATCTTGAGAACTTTTATTTCGGGTCTTCCCTTATTTTCAAGAAAATTATGTCTATTGCTTCACTGATTTTTAATTAATTCTTTATTGCTTCCTATTGCAGGTTGTTTTCTTCTTTTGTTCTTTTCTTATTCTATTCTATTGTTACTTCTGTATTTTATTCATCTCTAGTTTCTAAAGCTATAATAACTGGACAAGATAGAAATAGAATCTGTTGATTTATTATCTGATTGTGTGTTCAATGTTAATTCATTATCTACTTCTATACTTCTGGACCTAAATCTTGTGTTTTTATTATTATCTTTAAGATTTTGTCTTTCTGTTTTGGAAGTATGTTTGATACTTCAAGAAAAGTAATGTTCCTGTAAGAAAATATATTGTTTGCATGCCTTATCTTTTTTTTCTTTCATTTTGAAGCAGACTATTGTAAAGTTATGCTTTTTGAGTGTATAAGGATCTTTGAGTATATAATATGCCTTAGCTTGAGTATCATTTAATGTTCTGACTATCAAGCTAGTATAGGTTTTATCAATACCCAGGAGTCTTGCTGAATTATTATTTCTCTTAATTAATATCTAGTTGATTTTATTGTTGCTAAGCTCAAACTTAGAGAATATAGCTCTTGACATTTCTGTACTGATTGGAGTTATTTAGATTGCTTCAGGATTTAAGTTGAGATATTTGTACCATTTGATATAAGCCTTCACCTGTGATTTTATGTTTACCATGTAGATATGAACATTTTGGACTTCTTCATATCTTTTTAGATGTGTTTTTATAAGGTTCTTATTGCCTTTTTGATTTACATCTATTAAACATACATGACAGACTTCAGTATCCTCTTTGATTTTAGGTTCTTGAAAGACTTTTCTATTTAGATTTCTTTCTAATTTCTGTTTCTTGAGTATAGCCAGGGATGTTATATATTAAATCACAAAATTATCTTTTTTTTGGTTAACTTCTTCTATATTTTTTGTAACATCTTCTTCTTCTTATACCCAAAAGACCAATTACTTATTTCTGTTAATGAATTCTTTTCTCAACAGGCTTCTTTTTTCTTGTAGGAGTTTGAGGATATTACCTAAGTATGTTTTGGTTTCATCTTCTGTTTCTCCAAAAATATTGATTGATATTGCTTCTAATCTATAAATTTCTTTCTTTTTTATAAAATATAGATTTATTGATGGTGACATGTTTCTATTTCTAATAGTATAAGAGCTGTATTCACTAATACATTATCTTTTGACTGTTTCTTGAAATTCCTATAATTCCAACTCTTTTGTTTCCTATATACATATCATTGTTATTTTATTGTTTACTATTAATTTATTATCTACTTATTCGATGATTTTCATTGATTATTGTTTTGATTTAATATGGTTTACAGGGTTTTTGATAATTTCCATAAACTTGTTTTTAATATAAGGTTGTAAAAGATTTTCTTTTATCCCTTTATTTAGTTGCCAAAGATATGTGATGTGTTGAGTTAAAATTCTTTCCTTGTGAAAGGTTGTCACATCAACTCCTAATATCTTAGCTATAATACTGTCTAAAATCATATATATGTCTAGTAATAAGACTATTGATCCATTGAGTTCACTATTTTTTAGTTGTAGTAATTGTTATGAGGCTCATAGGATAGAGTGTTTATCATATTTTCTTAAGAGATTGATTAGGGTATTTACTATATTTTTTTCTTTCTTATTGACTATTTGTAATATATATTATACTCTATTCATGTTTACTGGTTCAATTCTATTGATAAATCATGTGAATACTTATTTGTATTTATTGATGATCTATTTTTAGGTCGCTGATAAACCTTTCTAAAATTGTTGTTATTTATGTATTTTGATTAGGTAATATGAAAAAATCTTGTTTGTTGTTTTGATATATTTATTTGTTTATATTAACGATTCTATTCTACTTTTGAGAGTTGCTGTTATGCTTGTATAGAGTGTCAATCAACTTGTTTAGATAATAAGTAATATGTGTACGTATATATTTTGCTTATCACTTTTATATATATACTTGTTTTGCTTATCTGATTTTTATGTGTTCATATTTATGTGACAAAATAAGAGATAAATATGTTGTTTATGTGTATATATACATTTAGACTAACTTATCTTTAGGGAACTTTAATATCCTTTTGGATTTTTAAGTAAATGGAGCAACTTGATTTATCGAGTGGGCTTAGTTGCTTTTTGGGTTTCTTATAGTATCAAAAAAGATGTTAACTCATATTGACCTGACTGTAAGCTATATGAAATTGATATTGGTTCTTTTTCTAATTATAAATCAGTTTACAGGTTTCTTTTCTTTCTTCTAAAATTTTAAAAAAAAAGAAATAAAAGAAAATTAGTAAAGCAGTGTATACCTCTTTCCTTAATGTTTCTGGGTAGCTTGTTGTATATGTGTTGAAAGTGCTTGGTAGCTTGATTCAAAAGATATATTGTTTTTTCTTATATGTTTGAAAAAGAAAATTTTTGAAAAAAATAAGGATTAGCATTGTAAATATAACTATTCTTTTAATTTGAATAAAGAATAACTTATTATTATTTTTTATTAATAATAATTTATTTATTAACTTTAATATAAATATTTTAAAGTTTTTTACAAAAAAAACTTATTACTTTATTATTAACTATACTTATTAAAAAATTTTATTTTTGTAATTTTTTAAAAAATTTATATGTTTCAATTTTATTATAAAATTTTAAATAATATAATTCTTATTAAAAATAATTGATTAATATAAAGAATATAGATTTTAAAAATATAAACAAGTTCCTATTGAATATATTTATATATTTTAATATTGTTAAGAAAAAAAATCTTTAAAAAATTTTTTTAAATAAATAAATCCATAAAGATATAATCATAATACTAAAAAATAAGTAAAGAATTTATATAATACATTAACTTCTAGTTGATAAAAATTTTTTTATTTTTTATTAAATAAACTCTTTCAATATAATATTGACATAAAAAATATAATTAAAAAATCTATATATTGGTTGAGAAATAAGTTTTTCAAATATTTTTTAAAAAATCATACTACTTAAGAATAATTAAGTTCTTTAGATAATTCAAAGTTAAAAAATATTTCAATTAAGTAGATTTCTTTTAAAAAAAGATGGTTAAATTGATTGAATTATATTTCTTTTTCTTTTTCCCATTTCAAGTTTAATAATTTATTATTTTTTAGAATAATATATAATAACAAATTATTAATAATAACCTTGATATACTGTATAAAGGTCTTGTATCAATCTATCAAGAAAATGAAATATTATTTACTAAATCTAACTTAGAGTACCATAATCCTCCAACGAATAATAAAAAAAAAAAAAATTAAACTGGCCCCTATTTTTATGGGTTACAATTCTAGATCTAGTTCACATTTGACCCATTTAGGGATTGATGCATAATTATCGTGCAGACGAATTGTTCGTAAAGTGTATTTTTCGAATTTTCAACCGAAGTCAGAATTATTTAGGAATCAATATGCCAACTCAATTCTCTTCAAAACTTTTGCAAGACTATTCTCAACTGCTTGACAACGCGGATGATTATAATGTTAGTATTCAAGTTGGTGAAGGTTCGAACGTAAAAGAATTTCGAGCCCATTCAAACATTTTGAGGGCGAGGTCACCTTACTTTATGAGAGCATTTTCTAGTGACTGGGCTGTCAAAAAAGATAACATTATTATTTTTAATAAACCTAATATTACACCCATGGTATTTGCTATGATGCTCAAGTAGGTCCTTTGTTATCATTATTATTGTTAACATTTGATGAATTATCGAAATATATCTCAATTACAAAACAACCATATTAGATATATTTACGCGGGAATTCTTGATTTAGAAAAACAATCAGGTTCCGACATTCTAGGACTTTTGATAGCATCAGATGAACTACTTCTTGATGAACTGATCTCTTACTGTCAGAATCATCTTATCGAAGAAAAAGCCAATTGGTTGAGGCTTAACATCGTTCAAGTCTTGCAAACAGTTATTAAGCACGATAGGTGTAAAAAGCTTCAAGATCATTGCCTAGAATATATCTGTCAAGACCCACAGTCATTCTTTTCCTCGAGAAATTTTCAATCTCTGGATAGAGATATTCTTTACGGATTACTATCACGAGATGATCTACAATTCGAGGAGATAGAAATCTGGGAGCATCTACTCAAATGGGGAATTGCCCAAATCTCAGTTAATGATAAAGTATTTACCGATGTTACGAAGTGGTCAGATAAGAATTTCGATGCATTAAGAAAATTCGTAGAACCTTTCATACCTCTAATTCGTTTTTTTGAGATAACTTCCAAGGATTTTTATTATAAGGTTAGACCATACAAAAAAATCATTCCACGGAATATCTACGAGGATGTCATGTCATACCATCTGGCAAGCACAGAACCAAAGACTCCAAATTTGACTCCAAGAATGGGACGATGGAAAATTGATTCAAACATTATTAAATCCAAGCATGCCGCAATTCTGGCAAATTGGATTAACCGAAGTGATAGCAAGTTTGGAATCAAAAAAAAAATTCCTTATGAATTTACGCTTCTTTATCGTGGTACTCTTCATGGATTCAAGGATGAAGTGTTTCGTGGTTATGTTAACAATCAGGGCTCTGCCATCGTGGTAATTAAAGTCAGGGGATCTGGACAAATTATCGGAGGATATAATCCATGTGGATGGATTTACAGATGCATTCCCAATTGGACAAGTACATTTGATAGTTTCATTTTTACCTTTGGAAATGGAAAGACGAATGCAAACATCAAGGTTAGCCATGTAAACAACCCCGATTATGCCGTCTACGATAATGCGAACAATGGTGCACAATTCGGACAAAGTGATTTGGTTATAAAGAATGCAATGGGTACGTGTAACCTTCATTCGTATGAGGACAGTATTTTGGATACAAACAGTTTCATTATCGAAGAAATCGAAGCTTTTAAGATTGCAGAAAAAATAGATGCAAATGCTTAGAAACTGCTTTTTTCTAGAGGAAAGAGGCATCACCTTTTTCGTTTATAGAATACACATGTAAATTTCTTTCTCATTGTTTTTTTGTATTTAATTTTCCTTTTCGCGAAATAAAGACCGTTTATCCGTGCAATGTGAACATTTTTTTCTAAAAAATTTTGCCAATTTTAATGTGATCTTGAAATTTAAAGATCTGAATTAAATATTATTAAATAATATATGCTATATGCAATATTTTTTAACAGTAACAACAAAAAAATTTTTTTTAATTTTAATATTGAGACAATTTTTTATACAATTATAGAAATAGAAAAAATATTTTTTATATAATAATTTAATTTTAATTTTAAAATTTAAATTATTTTTTATTTATTTATATAAGCTTTAATATTATTTTACTTAATAGAAATCCAATAAAAATAATTTTACCTTTACTTAAACTCAATATTTTTTCAATCTATAAACTTTATTTAAAAAAAGTAAAAATTTTATAGATTTTAAAATTGATATATTATAAAATTAAAAATTTTATCTTAAATTTTTTATTTGTTTAAATAAAGTTTATAAATTGTTAAAAATAAAAATAAAATAAAATATATTTAATATTTATAATATAAATACTATAAATTATAAATAATTTAAGTTTTAAAATTTATATTAAATTACTTTTTTAAAATTATTTTATATCTTTATTGTTATAATATAAGTATTATATATTAGAATAAATATTTCAATATTTTATTTTTTTTTTAAATTTTTTTATTTAATAATTTTTTTGAAAAAAAATCAATTCAATATAAATATATAGTGTGAAACACTTGCTTTTGAAAAAAAATTTTTTTTTTATTTTTTTTTATTAATAAAAAATTTATTATAAATTTTATATACAGTATACTATATATTTTTATTAAAGTTTACTTAAAATTTTTTAAATTAAAAATAAAATTTTTTTAAAATATTTGATTTTGAAAACATTATAAAAATTAAATAATAAAAAAATTTTTTTAATATATAAAATTATTAAAATACTGTATATATATATAATTTCATAAATTTATAGTTTTATCAGTAAAATAAAAAACAAAAAAAAATTTTTTCTTTTTATTGATTTTCTGATCACACACAAAAAAGATATTCATAAGAAATTTTATACTTCCTTATTAAAAAAGTTTTTATTTTTATTAAATTAACTTAAAGCTTGTTTTCACTTATTTTTATTACTCTTCTTTACTTGTTTATAAACTTTTTTGAATAAAAACTTTGAATCTCTAGTGGTCTGAATAAATTCAAGTATATATTTTTTCTACTAAATACAAAAAAGTTTTAAAAAGTAAAAGGACTAACAAATGAAGTGTTAACTTACAAAGTTGAAAATGATAAAAAATAAAGGTTTTGTTAATAAAAGAAAACTTATTATTCACCTTCTCACATATTGTCTTATATCTTTTTAGAGTATTTATTGTTTTTTATAATTTTCTTGAAGGATTTTGTCTATATCAGTTTAATCTTGAATTTCTAATAGTACAATATTGCCTAGTATATAATTGATTAATACAAAATACATTAGTAATTGAATGTAAACAAGTTTTTATTAGTTATATCCACATGTTCTGATAATATCATTGATAATTGAAAAAGTTAATTGGTACTCTGATCCTATCCACTTCTTTAATTAAGTTAACCTACAGATCAAGTTCTATAAGACTAATAAAATACAAGTAACAAGTCTTTAGATAGTAAAAAATTTACTATTTATTTAAGCTGAGATCTTTCTCTTCTATTCTGATCAGATAAAGTTAAAGACCAAAATCTTTTTTTATCTTAATTAGGCAATAAAAACTGAATGGTCTCTAGTCTATACTAATCTTCAACCCTTTGGTTACAGTTAAAAATATATTTTCTCAAAAGTTTTTAAAGAATATTATAATTAATGAGGATTCCCATTACTGTTTAAAACCCTTCTATTATTACAAAGCAAAATAATTGTTAAGAAATTTAATCTTTTGAGTAATGAAAGATGTATATCAGTAAAATTTCTTTAACTAAGTGTGACTGTTGAAAGGTATTATACTGAAACAATATAGTCTAGTTATAACTAGATTATATAAGAACTTGGAATCCATTATAAGTTATCTCTCTATTGCAGGTAGGTAAATAATTATTACTCAAAGAAGGTTGGAACCAAGTATATTCTAAAAGTAAAAGTTTCCACTAGGTGATAAGTCTTCTCAAATAGTATATAAGAAAGAAATTAAGATCAAGAATAGATAAGTCTCTTAGATAGTCAGAAGAAGAAATGATATCTCAATCGGATATTTCTTATTTAAAAGAGATTTTGAGAAGCAAGTTTTTAAAAAAAGCTGGAAATTTTTTTTTTAATTTTTACTCTTTCATTTCTTGTTATCTATTTAGATATTTTTAAATATCTTTCTTCTTCTTTTTCAATTCATCCTTTTGTAATTTTTTGTATTTCAATGTTTGGTTAAATATATAGCAATAATAATTTGCTGGCAATAATGCAATAGACTAGGAGAATTTTTATTCAAAGATACTACAAAGTAAAATATTATCTTTAAGACCGAACTTAGAGACTTTTATATTTATAATAAGTTAGTTAAATTAGAATAATAGTTTAGTTGTAGTATATATTATAATGCTCTTATTCCCACAGCAAAGTTGGGTTGCATGGCAGCAAAATATAAGGGGTCAAATTTTTTTGGAGGGAATAATATGCCTTACCTGAGCACGTTAGTTAGGAGAATCTAGAAGGATTAATGAATCTTTTTTCTTGATACGTGAATTAGATTGATCTGAGTAATTCTCCCTTACAACAAGCCATCCCATGGATTGGAGTGGTTAGAATTTCACAACATGGAGATACTGAAAGTAGCTGAGGAATAGGCAATATGCCCTTAACTGATGAAGCCCTCGAAGAGTAATTAGCTTACGGAATCAAAGTGATAGTAGTAGCATAAAATTTTAACTACTCACAAATAATTCTAGAAGTGTTTTATTAGTAACTATTTTTGTATATATATTTATTTGCCACAACTTGAAACTTTAATAAAATAAGGCTAAGTCACTATTTTAAAAAAAAAAAAATTATAATACTTTTATAAAAATATGCTTATATTTTCAATTGATTAATAAATTGAGAATCTAACTAAGCTATAAGTACTAAAAAAAAAATCAATAAAAA